ACTATATTGCAGTATTTCCTCGAGAAACCAAGATCCAAATCAGCTGTGCAAAGTCAGATCTCGCAGTTTTAAAAGGTACCTATTTTATGGAAGTACCAAAGGGTTGCAGTTTCCAAACCCCGAAGAACAGATACTCAAATAACATCGACGTTATTCATGGACAGCCTTTACTTCTACCCGAAATTAAGATAAATAAAGTCAGTCAAAATCATTTCAGAAAAATCGATATTAATAAAATACCCCTCGACAAGATCCACCTATTGCAGAAGGAACAAAATCGAATTCGTCAAATAAGTCTTCAACCCCCTTCAAACAATACCCATCTGTGGTATACGCCACTGTGGACATTGGGTGTTGTTGCCCTCATCATCATGTTTTTCAAGATTAGGCAATCGACGTCCAGAAATCAAAAATTAATAATACCTGCCACCCAACAAGCCACTTTCAATCACAGAAACTGCCGAGATGCCCAGAAATTCTAAGAATCCCACCAGCCGGCAGCTCAAGTTTCTTTTATCAGCATACATGTGTTAATAATGATTATTTTTTACATTTTTTAGTCTGATGTTAGCTTTCATTTAATAAAGACATAATTATAACTCTGTTTAAATAAAAATTTTTTTTTTTTTAAAAACGATTTTTCAAATCGTGTTATATTTTTCGCGGCAAGTCCAAGATATGGCGCCACCAAGATCTAGCGGCAACAAAACTAGTTCGTTGCCGGCATTTTCTAGCTTTTACATTTTGTATTATTAAGACATAAAATAAAGTTTCGCTTTTTATAAAGTTTTTAATATTTTTAAAAAAACCATTTTTTATTATCGAACCTAAAAGTTCCATATGTATATCGAGGTAATTTTATAAAAAAATAATCTCTTTATATTATATTGTACTGCTTTTATGTTATCGTAACTAAAGTTTATTTGGTGTATATATTTTATGTCATAAATTGGTTTAACTTTTATCTAACATGTATCAAAAGTTTACAACAGCATAAACCAAAATTTGTTCGAAAAACTAGAAACAGCGAGAACAGAACAATCTAAAAAGGCACTAGCGCATTGGGAATCGTAAAAGGACGTCAATTAGAACTGTACTGCTAGTGGGAAATGATGTTTTTTATGGAATATTAAAATTTTTATGTTTAGTCTCCTCCTCGAAGATATAAAAATGGAATACGGAATTCCATTATTTTTGCCAAATGTGAAATACCGTAAAGGGCTATTGGGTATAATGTCTGTAATCTGGTGAAATAAAGCGTTTTTATGTTTTTGTTATAGTCTCCTATGTTAGAGTACAAAATAAGAAATATTTATGGTTAACGACGTTTATAAATATATATTTTTTTGACTTCAATAATTTTGCTAGTTTATTGTAGATTATACCAAAAGCATTTAAGTCACAATTTTATTCTTCAAGAGAAAATCCTTAGAATACTAAGTAAAATTTCTAAATATTATGTATCATGTCGACCACTATTAATTGTGAAATATGGTATTCTGCTTCTAGCTTCTTTATATTATTATGTTCCAGAAATAAGCAAACTAAAGCTAATTGTTTAAAAAAATCAGCGACTAAAAAAATATCCTAATAAATTTATTTCATTTTAATTTTATGGTTCTGCGTTTGTTGACATTTTACCAAATTTTATTTGTATAAGGGACATCTATTCAGTTCTTTTCTCATTTTCTCAACATTTAAATCTATGTATTTGTATATGCTTTTTATATATTTAAATTTTTATCGTTACTGAGACATTAAAACTTTGTCTATGAAAGATTAGGACATCATCTTGATCTCAATGTATCAGATAGCGATTTTAGGTATGAAGATTTAAATTCTAGACGTACCAAACATCCTCTTCATAGATTGTGGTGGAAGAATTCAATTTCAGAAGAACACTATCTTGTTTATCCTCAACAAAAATGCATACCAGTTGATTTAACTGAAATATATTAGGTTCAATTGGAAATAAATTCTAGTTTTTGTATATAAAAGCATAAACGCATCGTAACCCACAAAGTGTAAATTTTGCAAGAGAGAGAGACACAAATTAAAGTATAATTAGGGTACTTATGAATTAGCTTTAACAAAATATTTAACTAATATGGAAATACAGTAGACTCAAAAAGTTAATTTTCAATTGTTTCTGTTGCAAGAACAGGTATTTGAAATCGTTTTTTATAAATGCTGATAAAATTTATAAAAAATAATAAAAACTTTTCCGGAACAGTAATAAAACTAACTAACCTAAAATGGTCACAGTATTACAGAACTATATAGTTAATTTTTGAATGTTTATACTGTTTGTTATGCAGTTGCCGAAGAATTACTTACAAATTTATATAGACATTGGAAAATTCTGTATTTAAACTTTCATAATGTTTCATTAATTTTTTTAATTTTGTGGTTGTGTTGCATTTCAACATGAATTAAAATTTAGGTTTTTAGACTGGTGAAAATAACTAGATTAGATTAGATATAATTAGGACTGTGGGCCATGTGACCTCCCCCACCTCGACCTTTTCAGATCTATTGTGGATATCCTTGAATCGTTGTTTAGAGTACCTTGTCTAATTCGGTCTTTTGTAGTAGACTTCATAGACTGGGAATTAGTTCTCCGATATAGCTAGTTGCCCTTGGGTTTTCTTCTCCAAGTGTAAGGATTTTCAGTCTTGCTAGACCTTTGCAGTAGCGCAATACGTGTACTGCCGTTTCCTCCTCTTCCTGATAGAATCGGCACAAGGTCTCTTCTGTTAGACCGATATTATACATATATTTGTTAAGTCTACAATGACCTGTTAATAGACCTACTAGTACTCTAGTTTTTTTCATATTAAGGCTTAGTAGATGCTCGGTGAGTTTAGACGATGGTCCTTTTAAGAACGATTTGTCATGTCTCTGCCCTGGAGAGTTTTTCCACCACTTCTGAGATTTTTTGAACATCCACTGCTTTGTACATGTTGTTTTTTTACACTACAGAAGAATTCTGGGCCGATAAGAGCATTTAAGGTTTCTTCTCGGGCTAGTAAAGCAGCCTCTTCGTTGCCTTTATATCCTCTGTGGCCTGGTACCCAGGCTAAGGTTAGTCTGTTTTCACTACCTAGCTCTGTTAGGGCTTCCAAACAGTCCCACACAAGCTTTAAGTGTACCTGCATGGAACTGAGTGCCTTTAATGTCGCTTGACAATGGTTTTTCTATTTACCTTTTATCCTAATACCTCTTTTGCGCAGTGATGTATTGCTGCTATTTTTGCATGTTTACCTAAGCTCAGTGAGATTCTTGTCTTTGGCTTGGTACTATATATACCTACTCCTAAACCTTCATGGGTTTTGGAGCCGTCCGTATATCAGGTGAATTCTGCATGAATAGAAGGTCCTCCCTTCCACACTTCCCTCTCTGGTATACTTATTTTATATTGCTTTTGAAAGCTATACTTTGGGAGCATTTCATTTGAAGGTAGACACATTTTTAAAAATATTAAGGAATAATAAGGGATATGATGTTTCCATGGTGTTTCTCATAGGATATACTTTCTACAGATACTTTTAATAAAAACTCTTGCTAACGGAGACTATTTTATCTAAGGGTTAGTTTTTTCACCTCTGAGTTAAGTTACTACTTGCTGATTAAACTATTGTTTGTTAATCTGTCAAGTAGAGCTACATTTAACTTCACTCGAAGGTAAAAAGATCGACTCTAAAAATATAAAATTTAAAAAAATAAGTACTTAATATGTTTTTAGTCATTTTGGCATCTGTCTTGATTAATTCAAAAGCATTTATTTATCTCTCTTATAACTACTCCTAAATAAAAATTCAGAAAAAAATACAGACACTTACACACCCCTGGAAAATTTTGTGTTACGCCAGTGATTTTAAAAAATAATTTTCAAACGAACTACTTTGTTGCTTAGTTCTTTAAAAGAAAAATGTTCACATCTCGTTACCATACTTAGTCTTAGAGCTACTAATTTTACATTACCAACTTAGAAAATCTATAATCCTAATGAAACTATATTGTGAGTAGTCGACATTACATTGCAACTAAATTTACTATTATTCGGTTAAAATTATCAATAAATCCTTTCAGATGCCGTAGGGCTTTGGGCTTTGTCACACAGATCCTACCATTTATTTAGAAGCTTTCACTGCAATTGTGTAATTTCCGCCTCCGGCATCTTGAATAATTACATTTAACTGTTGTTGTTAATGACTGTAATTATCTTCTGCTTCTTTTTGTGAATAATACAACCAACTTGTTTAACGGATATATTTCTACACATTGCGCATTGCATAAATAATTCTTTATAAAATATTACAATATTATAATATTATGGACAAAATTAACGAATATTTTTCTCATTTAGACATGTACATAAATATTTGATTTTTTTTCCATTAGTTACATTTTATTATTTAAAAACAGAATAATTTATATAATTTATTTACACCAATAACTAATTAATTTATTTATATCTAAATACTTTTAACATTTACCATTAAAGCGAGACGAATGGTCGAAAATGGCTCGCATTACATTATGTGAATAAAAAAGTGAGCACTTTTAAATAAAGATAAAGTTAAATTTATTATTTTTCCAGAAGGATATAGGATTTAAAATTATTTAAGAGGAAATATAAATACAAAAATGGAGATTAGAAAACGTTGTTCTGATAAAACCGTTTAAAAATTCAAATACCTAGATATTTTGTCTTTTGATATGTTGTCGTTTAATATTTTTATTTCCTATTGATATTTCGTGTTTTGATATTGTGTCTGTTTACTAATATACATCATCATTGTGAATTTTTAACATCAAAGCTATCTACCTATTATCCCATATTTTACAGTGCATAATTTAATTAAGCACTCGCTTACTATGATGTACGCCTCACTGACAGTATGGCTATATTAAAGTGCAATGTCTGTGTAAATGGATTCGAGTTCCTGATTGATCAGATTCCTGGCGTGTTCCAATATTGATAGTATTAGGTAATAATGCCTGCAAAGATGTTAATTCTGGTCAGTTTATTGAATATGTGATATTGTGGGGATTTTCTGAGTTTGTCAGTTATGTAATGTAGATTTCTAAAGAAACACCTAATAGTCTCCTCTGAATGCTCTTGACAGATAATTATTCTAAAATTGGGTAGTATTTTCATTATTTCATTATTTATGTGTTAGAGATGATCAAGCAAAGTCCGTTTTCATTAACGTTTTTTTTTTTAATTTAATAATTCTGTTTAAATCACATATTCAAATAAACGGCTACCCTCATCTGTAACTAAATAATAATGTTAACTATTTTTAAAATTAATTTACTTTAAAATGTATGTACGCCATAAAATAAGTATAATGTACTGTAAGCGTATGGGTAGGTTATAGATTAGTAAACTATTATTTTTATATTCTTGCATGTACAGTAGTTAACAAATTAATGTATTTATGGGTCATGTCATAAATATTAACATTTTTTTTATTACCACAATTACATTTACTTAAATCTGCTACTTTTATATGCTATGGAATATGTAGTATGTTTCTGTAAAGACTTTTAATAAAACATAAATGCTTTATTTAATATTGATACTTTTCAAAAAATACTTTAAAATATCAAATCTAATGCTAGATTATATAAACTTACAAATGTTAAAAATGTGTTTAAATGTTATTTATTGATGTGTACGTACTACATATTGTTAATTTGTGTTTGGAACAAGGACATTTTCCAAAAGAATAGATGTAGGTAATAATTATATTATTCTCCCGAAAAATTAAAGCCCATGTTCGTACAGTGAACTACGTCTGGTTAGCCTCCTTCCCACTATTTATAAAATCTTGGAACGAGCTGCTTATTTTTAAATATATAAGTACCTTTGTCAAAACGGCATAACTTCAGTGCATTAGTCAGGTTTCCAAAAAGGTTTTAGTACTTCAACTGCCCTTGCTACTTTATCTGATACCATTATCAGGAGTATTGATAATGGAAAAGATGGTATCCTAATTCTTTTGGACTTTAGTAAGGCATTCGACACACTAAATCACAAACTTCTGGCAGCTAAGTGCTCTCACTGTGGATTTGATAATACGTCTCTTAATTTTATAAAAACCTATTTGCGTAACTGCACTCAGTTAGTGCTAGTAGATGGTCAAATGTCTTTTTCGATCCATATTGAATCTGGTGTGCCTCAAGGCTTTATTTTGGGCCCAATTTTGTTTTTAATATACACATCTGACTTATAGAAACAGGTTAATAATTGCGCTATATAATTTTTTGCTGATGACGCTCAGATTTTTCGAGATTTTTATTTTCATGAATATGATAGTAGCATATCATAGCATAGCATATCATGACGGAAATCAAACGATTATCTAGATTTAAGCACATTATGGTGGGCACTTTTGAAAGAGCTAAATTATTTCAAGGTAAACATTTTTAAGGACTAAAATTACTACTCAACTTATAAAAACACTTTTTTTTATAAATTTACATAAATCCAAAAATGTAAGATTTTAAGTAATTTGTAAATTGTACTTAGAGAGCCTCAACTAACTTTTTTATATTAGAAAATTTATATTAAATGTATTTACGAACAAACATTTAAATTGTTATTTATTTATCAACCCATTTAATAATTTTGCAAGATCACTTCTTATACTATAGGTAATTAAAAAAAAAAAAAAAAGAAGACAAAACCAGAAGATGTTCTAGCAAGTTACTCTATACCGAAACAAAGATATTCGATGTTCGACAATTATACTGTATAAATATTTTAATTAAACAACATACACTCAATCAAATCAAATTTGCAAAGTCGAACTCACGAATATATGACAAGAAACAGAAATACTTACTTAAACATAATTACAAAAAAATCTATTGGACAAAAAAGTTTCTTGTTTCTTGGACCCAGATTTTATAATGCTGTACCTGAAAAAATTAAATCCGAACCTTCTATAAATAGATTAAAAACGATATTAAAAAAATACGTAAAGAGTACGACTAGAAACGTCATACATAACCTAGTTGAAAGTAGCTAATGGCAATGTTTCTATCTATTCTATTCAAGTCAAAATGTCATTGAATTTTTTTAATAAACTAAATATTTTTCTTATGTTATAAATTAAATTTTGTGTTTTCTTTTATCTATTAATATTGTATATTTTATTAACATCTATATTTTCATTTACTTTTAGTATCGTATATTTGCAAACAAGCATTTGATGCTTCGCAAGAGTATGTGTTTATTTGCAGTTACCAATATGACACTATTTATTGTAATTTCTATGAATAAATATTTTTGATATTTTTTTTTAATACAAATTGAAATTTTGGCAGGTATATAACTTTTTAACAACGTTATGTAAGTAAAAACATTTTATTATAATTAGGAGATCCTCCATGTTGTAGATTGTTTAGGGATGGTAACAGAAAAACTATTTAACTATGAAATGTGTTTACTAATTATGTAAAATGTCGCAAAGTTATAATTTTTTATTGATACTCTTCTGTAAACATAACCTCAAAACATCAAATTATTACTAATTTTTGGAATGTCCTTTTCCACAACAATTCTTATTTTCAGGACATAATGCAGACTATTTTTCTTATTTACTATAAAAACGATTTAAAATAGTAATTTTCTCACTTTGTTTTAATGAAATATGCACATCTAACAAACAATTAATAAGATATGAACTTAACAGTCCTGCCACATTTACAAAAATTCTACTTTTCTATAAAGAGTATTACAATTTTTACTCCATTTTTCACAAATTAACATTATCTTCGCACCCTGTTTACCGAGAAGAAAGGAGTTTCTTACATTTAAAGATTCAGAAAGAAACTGGGCTTATGTATCAGATATCGATATCCAGGCAAGGCACAACAAAATAACATTTAATAATATTATTAATATTTTAAAATAAAAAAAGGTTTTTGACAAGTCATTTTATAGACCTCATGTTACAAGAACGCCACCTGGTGATTATATAAATATTACCCATCATTGTTTCAAATTTTAAAATATAAATCTACTTGACTGATATTATCGTACTAGTAAGATTATCTGCAATGGCAACCACACCGGGTGCATAAAGTCGAAATCGTTATTTGAATTTGTAATAATTGAAATTATTAAATTTTCTTATTTATTAAAGTTTTTTCTATGTACTCTTCCGTCATCACTTTCATCAATTGAAAACATTAAGTTGTGGTGATTCATTTGCAATTTTATATATGGTAAAACACAACAAAAAATACAAGAATAAAAACTCCTTCATAGTTATACATTTTACAACTAAATTAAATAGTTCTGTAATACTGTTACCTTTTTACTGTTAAAAAAAAAATGTTTCACAAATGTTTATATCTAATAAACGTGATATTTAATAAATTTTGTTCTGTAAACATCCTTTCAGCTTTTATAAAATATCTAATTTTTACTTGAGAATTTTCTCTCTACTTCTCTCTTCTCGCTTGATGGGGGACCCTTAGGCGGAAAACCGGATTCCAATTAAGTTTAAATAAATTTTATGTAGGATTGATTTCACGTTTTTATCTCATTATTGAAGATATCAATATTTGAGATATTAAATTACTTTCAGCAGTAAAAAAATATTTTTAAAACCGGTTCATTTCCAGTTTATTACAGGATATGAGTAAATGTTAAAAAATAATTTAGGCTAATAACCATTTTCTAGGGTGCCAGTATAAAAATAATAATAATAATAATAATGCTGATGACACCAAATTAAAAAAAAAAAAATAATAATAATAATCTGCTTTATTCAATAAAATACATAATACAGCTAATTTTATACAATAAATGCAATAGATAAATAACTATATTTACATCACAGTAATGTCAAGAATAAAGCTTTGGAATCCAATAAGTGTATATACACTTGTTTTGGCTAGAAGTAAATACAAGGTTACAGAAGAGTCAAATCTAATAATAATTAATAACAATAATAATAATATCACATAATAGGTACTAATACATTTTTAACTATGATATTACTTAACCAAGATAAATTCAAACAGATAACTTATTTTTATTTTACCTTAACTTAAGTATACATATATTGCTAGTATTAGAAGTAATCATCAATACTATGTCGCTCGCTTTTGAAAATAAAATCTTTTAGCTCCGTTTTGAACAAGTACATACTGTCAATGATTTTTATGTTTTCCGGAATTGTATTGTATAATTTCGGTGCCATATAGGAATATGACCGTTGAGTACAGGTTTTTGACATAAACCGAGTAATGTAGTGATGTTTGTGCCGAGTACTATATTCATGAATTGCAATTGGAGCTTGTTGTTTATGTACATGATATCTGATTCCTAAACAAAGGTAGTAAAGCTGCCTTATGTCCATCTATCTGATTATATAAAATATTTAATGGATATCTGCTTCTTTTAGATAATATTATTTTTAAAAATCTTTTTTGCATTACCTCTAATGGATAGATGTGTTTTAAGGGCTACACCCCATACTAGAATCCCATATCGCAAATGACTTTCTACCAATACAATGTTCTTAGATAACTCATATGTAAGAGATCTTTTAGTTTTTTAAATTTATATAGGAGGCTTCGTAATTTGTTATTTAAATTTGTGTTTGTCCCATCCCATGTGTGGATCAATAATTATTCCCAAATATTTAATTTAATTTTAAGGTTTTATGGATATTGCATTGGTTATATTTAGATGATCAAAATTAGGAGAACCCAAAGAGTTACACCTAAAAGGTAGGTAATTCGTTTTGCTTATATTTATTATTAATAATTTATAATCCAACCATTTCTTGATATGCAAAAAGTCTTTCTCGGCTATCTGTTTTAAGTCTTCCCAATTATTCGCCTGATAAAATAAAGCCATATCATCTGCAAATCCACTGGTCTTCAATAAAAACAACCCATTTATATTTATTTTAAACAAAGTAGGGCCAAGTATTGAACCCTGCGGTACTCCATATTTGATTGTCTATTGTCTAAATTATATTGATCAGTACGT